CCTTGCTGTATCATGAGTACTGTTTTTGGAATAAAGCAATTATTATTATTATTATTATTATATAGACTTATACTGGTTGGCAGTGGACATGCTATTCATTCTCTAATATCAATCAGTGTCTGTCGACTACTATGGACATCAATTTGACGGTGAAAATGTGTAGGTATTAGGCAAAACAGACACATAAGTATGCTAGGTAATTATTTCCCACAACCTAGGTACTCAGAATGGGCGATTGTATGGCTCATTCTTTTTCTGAAGTGGCGCTGCCTGCCTTATCAGGTGGGTATTAGGGCGTTTCACTAGTTAGGCCAAAATATACCAGCGTGATCTCATAAAAATTTCAGAAATGTAATTCTCACTTCTGAAAGCACTGTCTCCTTTATTCCGCTATAGTGAGCTAATGTCGTTATCAAGCAACATTTTTGATAAAAGTAAAGCAAATTTGTAACGCTGTTCAAGAATATAGTGCCACTGATAACATGTACGTGAGAAAAGGATTTTTCAAATGCGATATTTCATTTAGACAGCGCAAAAAATGTATGACTTATCCTTAAACCAAAATAGGTGGAAGTGGAGCAATAAAAAGCGTGACCATTGAAAATCCGGACGATAATGATCACTCTATCACTACAGCCTCCGCATTTAAAGTCATATACAAGGCGAAAATACGTCAGTAGCACAGCGGTTAGGACGTTTACTGACCATGCACATGGTCCAGAGTTCGATCCCCTGCCGCCAACACACTCCTTTACCTCGCTAAGCTAGAAATAATTCTTGTAAAGAAGAAAGGTTGGGCATGAGGCTAGTAACCTCGATTCTGTAAAAGTAATCACCACTGCTACAGAAACTTCAAGCCACTAGCTTGAAGGCGCCCTGTGTTCCACTAGGAACGTGAAGGAAAGAAAAAGAAACAAGGCGAAAAGTAATTTGTCCAACTCACTATGTACCCAAATCATCTGTATCGCCGAAGCTTTGGTAATCGAAACAGAATAGCCGGATATGAGTATACAGCCTTTCTAACTTTCATGGTCTTAATCCCTCTATGCTAAAATATAGTAATCCCTAATTATATTTTGGGTCTACCAATTTTTCAAATTCAGTTTATTCAGTTTGTATACTCTACCTTTATTAAGCCAATTGTTACGATTACTATTCTCACTTTGAACTGTCCCCAGTGTTATCTCACTCGTTCCACTTGTCATTCTAAATCGAATTTGTTTTTGTCAATGTTTAATTCTATGTATTTTTTTTATTTTTATTTTATTCGATTCGCCAACTAGTCCCATAATTGCACACCCCTTCCAAGTTCTATGCATCCTATGAATTGTTCTGTATATGGCATTAATTGTTTTGCGCCTTGGCATTTAACTATGATTATAAACGCAAATATTTTAATTGCATTTCATTGTATTATTACTTCATGTATTCACACTGTTCATTCAATTCCCTCATTGGATTTAATTTCTTAGGAAAACCACATATACACGATTGTACAGCTTGGTAATAAATTCGTTGTTGAAAAGAGTCTCTTTGCTGAATCACCACTTGTTATAATTTTCCTTCAACCACAACAGCAAATGAACTACGATACTTCAGTTACCGGAGATTTGCAATAAAGCCATTTCAAGATCCAATTTACTGAAACTATTTATACTGGTGGAAATTAGCAATCAATCACAATTAACTTCATGAAGAAAGATAATTGGTCAGAAGATCATTCAAAGAGAATTCAAAACAACCATCCACTTCATAGCAAAGTCTAAGCTGAAGAGTATGACTGTCCACATGGAACTATATATATCGGGCGTACAATTATTCATCAGTTAGATTTTCGAACATCATCATTCTGAGTAGCGGTTAAGCTAGGAGTAATTCAAATTTATTCGCAACTCTTTTTTAACGCATCATATAGATGGTGAGTATACAGTTGATGTTAATACAGCATTTTAAAGTCTTTTATTGCATTCCAATCAATATTAATTTTACTTTACAACTTTGTCTTCCACAAACCAACACATCTGAAGTCATTGAAATTCACAAGAAAACGGCATACCTGTGTACTTCGGGGGAACTTCATGAAGTCACTTTCCTGACATTGGCCATCATCAAAATTTTTGTGCGTCGGAGGCAGAGGGGATAGGACTCTCGCTGACCATGCACATGGTCCGGGGTTCGATCCCCTGCCGACGCACACCTGGTATCAATGGTCAGCCTGCGAAATTTGCGCCACCGATATCCATGCTGAAAATTCCATAAATGTACCAAAAAATACAGTGTGGAATCAAGTTGTAATCAAAAACAAAATTATTTATTGATTCGTTAACTTTCCGAGTGGAACATAGGGTATCAAGCTAGCTAGACTTAGGAGTGCATTGACTGGAGATCCCGGACCCCGGACCACATTCGTGGTTGGCCAGCTTTCTACCGCTGAACCACCGATGCATTAACTACATGAGATTAAAAAACTGATAATTTCCCTCTCCCTCTAAGGCTTTTACAAGTTATTATTGTCTTCAATATTTTATTATCTTGAATAATCCACCTTTCATTGCTAATTACATAATCAAATTGAACACTCACCTATTACTTAATTACTCCTTGTGTTTCCAAAATTATGCCATTATGCAATCCACTTGTTTAATTTTTTTTGTAATTATTTCTACCCTTCAAGTGTTACATTAATTTTCTTGGTTAATTATTAGCCCCTCCATAACATGTGGATATTGACTAATAATTGTTGACAAACTTATTACCACTGTGGTGAGACCAGGCTGCTGGCCAATTGGTTGATATTAATCTACGTCAATGTCTAGGTCACTAATATTGGCCGTGAGAAGCCTGCGTTTGTCTGCTTAACTCCTGATAAGCAACCAATCAGAAGACCGCGTTTGTCTACTTGCATAAGCTATAAAAATATACAGGAAATATATATAAATACGTGTTGATTTTCGTAATATAACGATCTGTTCCTGGCCCTTGTTTTCTGTTGTTACACCACTAGATTGATAAATTCTTTCTGAATAGTATTAAGAGTGTCATACATGTGCACATATGTATACATATCTATTACGTTATAGCCATAGATGGGAATCTAATTGAAAGGTAAATATTTCTTCGATCAATTTTTTTAGTTTCTAAATATCTAAATGGGTATTTTCCTCCATATCTAACGGACAGATTGTTTGGAAAGTCCATCCTGAACGATCTATTTATAATATTTGTACTTATTTAGGTGCGTCGATGGCACAACAGTAGAATGCTCGCCGACCATGCTTATGGTTCGGGGTTCAATCCTCGGCCGACTAAATCCCTTACCTCGCTAACCCAGTAATACGACTGGTAAAGACGGAAAGGCTGGGCATAAGGGTAGCAACCGCATCCCGTAAGAATAAACACCACTGCTACCGGAACTTCAAGCCTCTAGCTTGGAGTCTTATTTTCCACTGGGAACGTAAAGGAATAAAAAAAAATACTTATTTGGACATTTCAACTAACTTTGTAATGAATGATTGCACGTATTTCCCCTAGACTGTGTATCATTAATTTTATATTTGCATATCACATGCTGATTTTGTCCTCTATTTGTTTCTTTGTCTTCTTGTTTAATCTTTAATTGCAATAGTTCTCTTTGTAGTTGTGTGCACATTGACAATGTGTCGGTGGCACAGTGGTTAGGACTCTCGCCGACCATGCACATGGTCCAGGGTTCGAGCCCACGCCGGCGCACACCTGATATCTATGGTCGGCCTGCGAAATTCGGGCTACCGATATCCATGCTGAAAATTCCATACTTGTACCAAAAATACAGTGTGGAATCAAGTTGTAAATCAAAAAAAATCAAAATATAAGTTTGTTTGAGTGAATGAAGGTGATTTTAACTCCCCAGGACTGTCTGTGGGAAGTTTTGGTATGTGATTCATGTTGATAGAGTTTTTGACGCCACTTAGTTCGGAATATTCTCTTCGATTCTCAGGTACATTTTAAAGCTGAACTTTGGTTAACTAATTTTGTCTTACAGTACGTGGTTTGTATTTAGAAGCCAAGACTGCTTGTATAGATAGCTCTGCCTTATGGCACTGTTAAGGTAAATCTGAGTTTTGGTTTTATTACTGTTGTTTAATAGAACCGCTAAAATACTGGAGAACAATCGTCTTTTCTGTGCCTTTGGAGCGTTGCTTGGTAGCGCGTGTGTCAACATAGTTTTATCGGCTATACAGTGGAACGTAGAGATCGATTTCTTGCGTTCAGACCATAACTGAATAAATTCGGTCGTTAAACTATATTCTAAAAAGCCAATGAAAGCTTTGCGAATAATTTATCCAGCTTAGAGAACATAACTACGTCAGTATGCGTCGGTGGTACAGGGGTTAACACTCTCATTGACCATACACATAGTCCGGAATTCAATCCCCCGCCGATGCACACCTGATATCTATAGTCGGCCTGCGAAATTTGGGCTACCCATATCGCATGTTGAAAATTCCATGCTTGTACCAAAAATACTGTGTGGCATCAAGCTATAATAAAAAAGATCTACTCTTGATCTAAAATTCTTCCACTTAGTAAGTGAAATCATACTAAATTATCATTAATTGATAAAAGTCCAGATTCATGGGATCTGTAGACTTCATCCTAGTGACTCTATCATCTCAGCAGTTTCGCCTTGCGAACTCAATGTTGTTGAACTAATGGGTGTACACTTCTGTAGAGTCACAGACAGATACGAAACAACTGTTCATTACTGCGTCGTTTGTATTTATGGTCTCTAGCTAATATCGATTATTGATTTAACTTTAAATTAATCGCCTGAAAACTATCAAATACGCATCTTCACGGTATCGTGTAACAGGTGACAAGCTCAGAGAGAGAGAGAGAGACCAAGATCAACTCCGAGGAATGATGCGAAACGAACGAATAACACAATCTTCAAAGTTACAATTGATAAAATCAATAATAATATATTTATTACACAGATCTAGAAAAGCAGAGTAACCAATTTATTCAAAAATATTTTTAAAAAAATGATAATTAATAATACTCAATATAAACAAAATCACAGCTACATAACTGTATACAGTCATCAGTTGTAATCGATTGACGCTATTGTACAGACCATTTTCATGACGATTTGAGATAACTTCCAGGTTTTCAACCATTTGTATAAATCTTTCACCAAGCCATGCTTCATAAGTTTGATTCTCCCATGGAATTAAACTTAAACTCTCTGTATCATCAGAGAAGATTAAATCTTTTTGACCAAATTCTGATTGAAACATTTGAAAGATTGGATCACTATACATAACAATCAATAAATCAATATATTGATTAATTAAATAATTTAAAATAAGGGGATATAAACATGAGTATAGGAAGTAAATTATTATTCAGGTGTTGGTTTGTAGGGATTTGATTAGTTACTGGTTTTCGTCATGAGCTAACATCTCTTAGCTCTGCGAGTATTGGAAAGCTGTTTTGTTTTGATTCGGGACTCTTCATCACCACACATCCACCGGGGTTCGAGTGTGACACTGGCTAGTGGTCGTGCTATTTCGTGAATTGGCAGAAGTTGGAATTTATCGAATAGCCACTGGATCGGATCCAAACGGCCTAATGGTTTACGATCTTGCCTTGTAGCCAGATGGTCGTAAGTTTGAACTCTGACAGTGGGTGAGTATTGCCGATGAATCCCGGAATAGGATAAAACAACTGTGAAGTACTCCCAGCTGGTTTTGCAATGGTTCTCTGATCAATGTCAGCTCACGATGAAATCCAGTAAATTATTTCTTGTTATTCGTACTAATACCTTTAGGAAAAAATAACAAATTGACCGAAGAAATGTGCATTTCTCTTCCACCAGTTCTTCATCATCAGCTCTATACTAATATATATATATGTATCCATCCTACAATTATACGACAATGCTGCATCGCAAGTAATCCACAGCGGGAAACTTACGGAAGCCTTCGAAATGAGGACAGGAGTAAGGCAAACTGGCTGCCTACTATCGCCAATGATCTTCCTGATTGCAGTAGACTCCATAATGCGGCAGAAAACGGACGATGAGGAAACAGGCATAACATGGACTGACACAAAAAACTTCAAGGATCTGGACATCACCGATGATGATATATGTTTGATTTCCCACAAACTGGAAGATATGCAAGTGGAAAGCAGCAAGCTGGCAGAAGAAGCATCAAAGATAGGACTTCAAGTGAACATAGAGAAAATAGAGGTGATCAAGACTCCTTGCCAACACCGACAGCAACAACAACAACAACAGACAAAAATCAGCCAGCATAAATGCGAGGAACCTGTACGAAACAACCTCCTTTACCTACCTGCCTACCTACCTGGGAAACATCGTTTCAGGTACAGGCATACGGAACTGACGAGGATATCAAAGCCAGAATCGGAAAAGCAAGACAAGCTTTCATTACTGTCAAGTCTGTGTAGAGGTCAACAGCACTCACCTATCAAGAATAAGATCCGGATTTTCAACTCCAATGTGAAGTCAGTCACTGCCACTCACTTTACGGATGGATCAGAGACTTGGCCAGCGCGTCATAAAATGCATCTCCAACATATTTCAGACTTTCATTAACAGTTGTCTTCGCTCAATACTACTCAAGACCAGATGGCCGGCCAGAAAAGATCAGCAATTGTGAGGGATCTCTGGCAATGAGCGAACCAACCCAGCAGGAACCGATTGTGTAACCAAAATAGGCAGGAAGAAATGGAGATGGATTGGCGGGCCATACTCTGAGGAAACCATCAAGTGAGTGACATCACTAGACAAGTCATTGCTCGAGTGGAACCAGGCCGTAAGAGAAGCGGCGACTTGGTCGTCAGTGCAAGGGTGACTTGGAGGAGATCATATGAAGAGGAGAAGAAAGCATGTGGGCAGACGTGGAGCGGAGTGAAACAGTTGGCAGAAAACAGAAGGCAATGGAGACTTGGGCGGCTGAAGCCCTATGTTCCTCTAGGAATTAAAGGATATAATAATAATAAATGAAATATATATAAATACATCAAAATTTAACAAACCACGTGGTTATTCTAGTTAATCAGTTTTAGATATAATGGCGGAGGTCGAAAACAAGAGGTTAAAGGTTATCAAAACAGCTGGCTGGTAGATGCCAGCAACAAGATATTTAAGTTTTGAAGGAGAGAGGAGATGAAATTAGTTACGGAATTCAAGATCTCTCAGTTATTAGGGGTTAGCAGTAAGATTTTATATAATCAAGAAATTTGTAAAATAGCGATGATATCTAGGAAGACTAGGATGATTCGGTAGAATTACGTAAAATGCAAACGAGTTAACTGAATTAGCTAGAAGTGTAAACATAATAAAATAAAAACTGGTAAAAGATAGTTACGCGAGGAGGGGAAAATTGCTTTTAAAAACTTGATACATATTATGTAGTTAGGCCATGATAAAGAAAGGGACTTGCACAGATTTCTTTTGAACACAAAGATTTGGGTTGTTCCCATGAATTCTGATTGCCTCTGCTGTATGTGTAAAAGTCGAACTCATAGAGCACATAAGAAAAGTTGGGTGGAATACGATAAATGGCTTTAAAAGCTGTGTAAGAGTCAACTTAATGTCCAGTATCGATGAGATGAGCTAACATTGAGCTGCGTATAGTAGCTTTATACAGACCTTTGCCGAACTAAGGTGAAAGGTGTTCAGGAACTCGACTATGAACTTGCCCGATTGTACGCCCGATGTAACTAGCTTCACATGAGCAGTTAAACTGATAAATGCATGTGAAAGAGGCGAAACAGGGCAGTTTGTCTTTACTTCTTGAACTCAGTATTGCTTAGCTAGTAAATAAACAGCATAACTAAGCTGAGTTAAAGGCCTTTTTGAAGGCTCTTCTCAGACGCTGTGATAACATCTCACTGTTAACATCTTCTGTGAATTGAAATCTTAGGAAGTCTGATTTTTCTAATTATTACCAATTTAGGTAAAAAGAGAAACTCCAGTTTTAGATTTAAGATTTTTTAGACATTTTGATTAAACCTATTATAAATTACGTCATAAACTGACAGATCAATTAGATAGTCATTGAAAACTAAGGGACATTAGACAGCTGTTTTGTTAAAGCTCAGGCTTCTTCAGTGTTTCGCACCCATGAGCCCAATAGGGAACAAAGCCAGGACCTTTAGATTAGGCGTCCATCCCACTGACTCTACAAAAACCCAAACCAGAGTGTCATTCTCCTACTTATTAGCAGTTACAGGATAGGTGTTCTGAAGTCCTCCTGTGGTTGGTGTCTGGTTCATAATGTCAAGTGTGAAGAGGATGTGAGTAGAGGGTAATGACCTGCAGTAGCACCATAAGATGAACTGGTAGAGGCTAGAATTCATGAGGTACCGAATTCCACATCCTTCGTTAAATGAATAGTACGTCGGACTTGTAAATCCAAGGTCGTGGGCTTAACTTCTATTGGAGTCATGGTTGTGCGTTTCTGAAGAGTCCCGAACTAAGGCGAAACAGCTGTCTGGCGTTTTTCGGTTTCAGTGATTCTCTAACTAGCTGATCGGTTCATGACAACGTCTACATATCAAAACCGTAGCCCAATAAAAAGCCAATAATTCTGTAAAGGGAGTAGATAAGAGACTGAGTGACTAACGCTTATTAAGAAAAAAAGCACCATATTTATTATCCATTCTTAGCCTAATTAAATTTCAGCTAGTTCAGAAGAGAATTAGTCATTCTGATTGGCTGGCAACTCACCCAAGGTTAAACAGGTTGTCCAATGAGATTACTTCCAGACCACAACGTATAAGAAATAGACACTTCGGTTTCTACTGCAGTCATTGACTTAAAATGTTGATTTCAGCTTTGGCCGCTTCCTATTAATCTCCATGACGCTACAATTATAGCTGACAGCATGCGCTTACATCTTAGTTAAATTCCCCATTGATTATTTATGAGTTCATATAACAAATTGGTGCTTTGGTCGGAAAGCCGGCGAATATGAGACGTATGAAATTTATTGATTTATTTCCAATGTATTGTCACCATCACATTGTAAAATAAAGCACATATACTCATGAATCAATTCTGAAATATTTTCGTCGATCCTGGTCAGATGATGTATGTCTTACCAAGTAATCTTGTCTGATTTTTTCATTATGGTGGTCACACGGAGTGTAGAGTAGATGATGCGTGCATGACTCATCAGATTTAACTGACATATGTATCGGTGAAAGACTAGGCAGAGAGTTTAAAGGTAGTCTGGTGTACACTAATATGCATGCAAACATGAAGAACGTGTGATTGTACCGAAGATTATGTGTCTGTCTGTCTGGATTCAACATAGAACTTGGCACCAAAGTGCACCAGTTCAAGTTGCCACGTTCCAAATAGCACATAAAGGTAGACAAGAAGATGAGTGAAGAGAATCAATACAGTCTGACAAGTATAAGAGTGAAACAGAATGGGTAATGGTAGAAAGGAATATGAAAGATTACAGAGACTGAATACATCTGAGCCTGACATTGACAACAATTTTGAGCCATGTCACCTATTGTCTCCAGCCATTGATTCCTAGAGTCAGTCCCGAGGGCCCCAACCCAGAATTCTGCATCTCCCTACCTGACTCAGTTTAACTGTCAAGGATTTCATGGATTGATGAGGCCATGTTTTTGTTTGGCCACCACTGGCTCTTTTCCAACCTGCACCTATATCAGCTAGTAATGTCCGTCGGGGGAGGCGGTGGTTAGGCATGCGCAGCACGTCACCTAGCCATCTTAGTCTATGTAACTTTATAACCTCGTCGATTGATTTTCCCTCTTTGCCCAACACTCTGCGTCTAACGTCAACATTACTTACCTTGTTAAACCACCTAACGTGAGAAAGAGATCGCAGACATCTATGATCGAAAGCAGTCAACCTTTTCATGTCTTCAACTCGTATTGGCCATGTTTCAGAGCCATAGAGAAGGACGGAGCGAACTGCTGAGCAGTATATACAAGTGAATTTGTTTAGCGTATATTTATTTTATTGATTCAAATACAAACCTGTTACATCATAAGTACGGAGAGATGCACCACACAAATCTGTCTCATAGGTTTTACGAGGACTGACATACTGCTCGGACACTCAGTTCGAAGCTGATGGTTATCTTAAGAGGCCACCCACTCCCCAACCTTCGACTTAAAGTCTGATCTACAAAACATGGTTAGGAGCCATATTCCCATGATGTCCAGTGACCTGAACAAGTTTATAGACTATTCGAGCCCATATACACCATAGGTTTTGAACTCAGGGTTTTCCAGCTCTTTTAGGGAGATCTGAGGTTTCGTCAGTCTAGATGTAGGCGCCAGATGTTTTTATTTGACCTTTCACTTTAGTTTGAAACACCTCCGCCTGCTGAAAGCAATGAATAGAACTTATCTTGTTGAGCGCATATGTTTTACAACATATAGCTGTTCTCTGTTTTGTGGACATTACCTCTCAGTCAAGCGGACTGGTAAACTGTATGAGAGTCCAAAGAAACCTACTCAAGTCGGTAATCATTATAACTGCTAAACCGCGAGCATAATAAATCACGAAGAGGGGAATTACCATTGACAGTGAGCTCTAAATATGATAAAAAACAATCAAAATAGTTTGGAGAGACAGTGGATATAAGCACTCTATAAATGACTTCGACACGAATTAAATTTACTAGTGAAAGGTTTAAAGAGATAACTCACTATGATAAAGAATTTTTTGTATTTCCCAATGAATAAAAAACAAAACGATATTGTTGTTTTTACTGATGTTTCGCTATTTAATGCTGATGCTAATAGCTTTATCAATACAGTAATATTAAACTAGAATTTACAAAATCCACTCAGCTTATATATAACAGCTTAGTCATAGTTCCTCAGCATCGGGTCATTTTTCGTTGTCATATTGGCAAATTGGTAGAGATAACAAAACCAGGTAGGTGTAGATTGTTAGATTTGATCAGTGTATAGAATTATAAAATCAGTGTGTGTTTACATAATGAAATCGCTTATCATATTCTTGTTGGTTTTGTCATTTCATGGGGGAGTGGAGTGTTGTAACCAGGCTAAATCCTGTTTAAGTTCATCATTGCCATTCAGACAATTTGGATTCCACTCGATATGAAGTTCTTCTGATATGAGAGGTTCTTTGTGACTTCTGACACTTTTCTGGATTATCTGAAAATTGTCAAAATCAATTTTGTGACCTGACCTGATTCTATAGCATGTAGACCTATGGTTGGCCGATGATTTTTCAAGCTATTCTAGTTCAACTGGATTTCTCGGTGGTTGAACAGATGCGGCTTTACGGTGTTCATTTCTTCTGATCACCTTGATTTCTCGCGATGTTTTTCCGATGCACATCGCATCACATTCCAAGCATTTTATTTTATAGACACAATTAGATAGAGAATCTTTGTGGAATCGGTCTTTTATTTGGTCAAGGTTGTTTTGAAGTGTGTCCGATGTTTTGAAGAAAGCCAAAATAGGTAGGAAGAAATGGAGATGGATTGGCTGGCCATACACTGAGAAAACCATCAAGTGACTGACATCGCTAGACAAGCCATTTCTCGAGTGGAACCAGGCCGAAAGGGAAGCGGCGACTTGGTCGTCGGTGCAAGGGTGACTTGGAGGAGATCATATGAAGGGGAGATGAAAGCATGTGTGCAGACTTGCAGCGGAGTGAAAAAGTTGACAGAAAAAAGAAGGCAATGGAGACTTGGGCGGCTGAAGCCCTATGTCCCTCTAGGAATTAAAGGATATAATAATAATAAATAATTACACCGATGAATGTCTCTTTATACACTTCTGATAAATTTTGTCAATAAAACACGTCACATTTGTTTATTCGTAAAATAACTTTATTTAATAAACTGAACACAGCGTGATACTGTGTTGTTTATTTACTGATGACGTTTTGTGCATAATTTATCGATTATTATCATGTCTAGGCGTACTCAAATAACAATTTCAGATTTTGCTTATACAACATTCTAACAAAGCAATGAGAAGACGTAATTTGTCTGAATTGTGCGTGTGTGTAATATATTTGTCATAGCGATATATACGAAATTAGTAAAGAGTTAAATGGTGACAAAATACACTAAGACCAAGCTAAAAGGACATACCGAAGGTTCAAAGATCAATGAAGATCACTAAATCAAATAAGAGAGAGATAATAGTACATCTACCCTGGTTGGTATCAAACGAAATTTTACCAAAGAAGATTTATTGTGATGACAAATTGTTGCTTTGAACGCATAAAGGTGGTTTAAACTTCCTAACTGCCAGCTAAGGCTTTCACAAACTCTAGAATGCACCCGTAAATAAGTGCTGTAGGTAAGCCTAAAAGACGTGTAAACATCTATTTTATGACCTATCTCAATATTATGTTCGCCATAGAGGAGCTAGGTCTCCTGTTCTCACCATTAGTGAGTTCAAAAGATTCTATTTGCTTCTGAAGTCATTTAGGAATACGTTCCGAAGTCAGCCTTTTCTTGCAGAGATCGACGAGTCCTCCCTTTATATGAGTGGCCACACATACCCTCAAAATGTTAAGCACAGTGAGATGTAACATGATTTCTGGCATGTTTCAATATAGGCTTCATATTCTGAATTATTATGATGTTGGCTGCACAAAAACTCCTTTTAACTCCAGGTTTCAATCTTTACCGAGTCAGCAAGTTGCCATGATCGCCCCAATTTAGGGTAGCTTGATGCGCATATCTTTCTCACCGACGAGTTAGAGAGTTGGCCTTGGTGTTCTGACTACTTTATATCTCCTAATGAATTTGTCTGGATAATTATTATCAATCAAAGTTTGTGTCAATTTTCTTTCTTTCCCATTAAGTGTGTCTCTGGTACATATTAGCTGGATTCTGTTATAGTTTTGTCTCACCCTATTGTGCATACATTGCAATTGATGAGTTTTTCTCTGAGATGTTCATCTACGTGGAGTCAATCATTCCTACACTTAGCTAAATTTCTATCTTCCGATCACCTGACTGATTCCAATTATGTCGGTGATAATATCTCGGATTGCAGCACTAGATGATGCAGGGTCAAATCTTTCAGTAGGCATAAATTTCTGTATGGTTGTAGAAACGCCTTGCTAACGACTCCAATAAGCACGAAATCTAGGTTCGAAGTTTTATGCCAATGGTTTACAATGATGTAAAACAGCAGTTAAAGTTAGCTAGAGATTGGTCACGGAGTCTCTGTCCGTCGAATTTTAACTGAGTAGTTCCAACCGGAATTATATAACACCAAAACTAGATATGTAGAAGGCACTACGTTATCATTAAATACCTAACAATGTATTACTTTACAGGTTATATCAAATAAAATGATTCCACACGTGAGCATGGAATGGCAACCAAACCTCTACCTCAACTTTATAGACTTCGAGAAAGCCTTCGACAGCGTTGTTCGTGAAGTAATTTGGAAACTACTCGAGTACTACGGCGTACAGTGTCCCAAATATTCATCAACCTTATTCAGCAGCTGCTGTACGACAACGGCACATGTCAAGTGATCCACAACGGAAAACTCAGCGAGGCGTTTGGAGTAAACACAGGAGTCAGACAAGGGGGATTATTATCAACAATGATATTCCTAATAGTGGTAGACTGACTGGATTATGCGTCAGACAGTGAGTGGGAAACGAGGAGACAGGGAGAGATATCCTGGACTGACGTGAAGAAACTAGAAGACCTGGATTTTGCGCGTGGATGATTTTTGCTTGTTGTCACACGAAATCAAAGACTTACAAGCAAAAACCAACAAACTGGTCGAAGAAGGAGCCAGTGAAAACAGGACTGCAGGTGGACATAGAAAAGACAGAGGTTATGAAAATAATCAACCAACCAACCAACCAACAACAACAACAACAGCGGAAACATCCAGCGCCAATCACCATCAACGCGACGGAGGGATTTGAAAGAGGTTACTTCATTCACTCACCTATCTAGCATTGAGCATTGTCTCAACTACAGGCAGTCGGGACCGACGAGGAAGTCAAATCGAGCGAGAATCGGGAAGGCGAGCGAGAAACACATTCATCAACCTGAAACAAACCAATCTGGAAATCTTCGTCACTCAGCCAGCATCAACAACAAAATTCGGTCGGATTTTCAATACAAACAACGTCAAGTCAGTCAGTTCTTCTATACGGATCGGATGAGAAACTTGGCGGGCGGGCTGGCGGGCGGGTGACAACGAATATTTCCAACAACAGCCTGTTGCAGACGTTACCTTTATCAACAACAACTGTCCTCGCTGGATCTCTAGTGAAGATCAGATGGCCGGGCCGGAAAGAATCGTCACCAAGAAACTATGGGAAGAAACAAACAAAACAAGAACTAACCAATCGCCCACCAACAAATATGCAGGAGAAAGTGGAGTTGGATTGGACACTCACTCGCTAAGGAGGCCGCTGGGTGACATCGCATGCGCGTCATGCCATTGCTCGAGTGTAACTGAAAGAGTATGGACTAACATGGATGCAGGTGAAAAGCATAGCAGAAGAGAGAAGGGAACAATAATAATAATACACGTGAGCAGTGCTCAAAATCTACCTTTGCATCAATGAACACTTACCCATCAGCGGAATAATATTCTTGACCATACTGTAATAGACGCCACATATTTGTTCGTTCATTTTCAGATTTGTAATTTGCTGTGACAACAACATTACTAGAGATTTTACCCAGATTGCATGTTTCCCATTCATGAACTTCAGCACGTCGTCCATCTGGACATAATAATTCATAATTATCTTCACGTAAATCACGAGCCCAATAGTTTGGATTTCTAATATGAAAAATCAATAATTCAAATAAATTGGATAATAATGAAATATACTTCAGGTTACCAATCAAAAATTGACTTCAGTTAGAGAACCACTGAAGATCAGGTTACCAGTAATAGACAGCCATTTCGTCCTTGTTCAAGACTCTTCATCAGCGCGGACGCATGACAACATTAGGGATGGAACCCTCGACCTTCAGGTCGCTACGCGAGCTCGTTAGCGAGCTCCAGCCCATGAATTCTAACTTCTACCAATATGGGGTGCATAGCACGATCCCCAACCAGTGTCATTAGCGAGTATATGTCCTCTTGCCCAAAACTGGTTGGTCCTCACTTTTCACGACTTTCCATTATAAATCATGGTGGTGGAAATGAAAAAGCTGTCCAGTACTCCCTGATTTTTAATTGTTTTCTAATTGAGGTTAGTTAATGGTCAAATTCCTGCAAACTAAAGCTTGAGAAGAATGTTATTCTATTGATTTTTGAAATGCTAATGGTTGTGTCAGTGTTATTGTTGAGTTCTCTAGACTGGATGTCTAGTCTAACTAAAAAGCTTTCATTATCCTTTTGAAGACAACATCTTCAGCGCTGGCTTTAATATGAAGTTAGCATTTGGCGATTCTCTATGGATGGGATACTCGAATCAAGGTCAATGAAACCGTGAATATCAATAAAATTTAATGAATTTAAAAAGTTCTTTAAAAATCCACAAAGGCAGCGAGCGATCAATGTCAAGGTCATCATTAAGGGCAGATATCTAAATCCCGCCAAGTAAATGTATAGTGACCCAGGTGTACGAAAGCATTAGTGACCTTGAATACATAGTATTTTTTTGTATAACGAGACCAGCCATTATTACAGCACCACTATCAACGCTGTTCATGGAGTGATTTCTAGTTCTGTTTCGACAATGTGTTGATCATTAGGATAACGAATAGGGTTGTAACAACAGGAGACAAGGGCCAGGCAACAGATCCTTTATTAAGGAAATTAACATATATTTATAGATGTTCACGTACATCATTATAAATTATTGTTAGCAGAAAAAAATAGTCTTCTGATTGGCTATTTCTCATAGAAAGTTAACCTCGCATCTCTTTGTGGATGTTTCTTGAATGTCAGATCATCAATATTTTAACTGTATCCGCTTACGCAAAATATTTGTTCTCATTTTTCTCACGACCAATATTGAGAACATAAACATTGACGTAAATTACTGTCCACCACTTTTGGCTGACAGCCAGCTCTCACCACAGGGTTAGGTTCAAGATTAATGTCAGGATTAGGATTTTCAACTCCAATGTGAAGTCAGTACTACTCACTGTACGGATCGGAGACTTGGTACGTCATGAAGAGCACCTCAAACAAACTACAGACCATCATCAACAGCTGTCTTCGCTCAATACTACTCAAGATAAGATAACCTGCCAGAAAAGATCAGAAACAGAGATCTCTGGCAAAGAACGAACCAACCCAGCAAGACCCATTTGTGCAACAAATATTCAGGAGGAAATGGAGGTGTACTGGCCATACTCTGAGAAGATCGTCAAGTGATATCACACGCCAGGATCTCTGTCGAGTGGAACCGGTATGGGAAACGGAGAGTTGGTCATCAGTGGGAGGGTGATATGGAATGGGTCATGCGAAGAGAAAATGAAAGCTTGAGGGCAGACGTGGAGCCCTGTGAAAACGTTGGAAGAGAACCAAAAATAATGGAGACGTGCAGCTAAAGGCTTATAATAATAATGATTTGCTTTATTCCAAAACAGTATTTGCGAATACAGAATGGAATTCTCACAAGTTTACTACAGTATTGTTGCATCTAGTTAGCACATTATCAATAAAGAAAATTCTACATCGATTAAGGGTAATCTCAGTTCATTATGACAACAACTTATTAGCATGTCGGTAGCAAAGCCAAAATTAAACAGAGTGTTAGAACTTGTTTAGAAAAGTAGATACTACTAGCATATTTACTGGAGTAAACAGAAGAAAGAAACAAAGCAGCACATAACAGAAAAAAGGGGAGAGAGAGAAAAAGAAAAGAAAGAAGGAAAACGTTGTACCTATAAATGATATGAGTTGGAAAGAAGAGATCAAGTTGTTCTACTGACTATTTAATAAGTTGTAGGTATCACGCCTAATGCTTCCTTTATCGCACAGAACACGAGCTAGGTAGGGTGGGTATGGTTGAGTTTTTGTACTTGCTAGTGCGAGCATATAGTTTTCTATGTAGGCTTATGGTTTTCCCTGAAGAGATACAAGGAGAGAGTTGTGAATGAAGAGGGTGTTGTGAGTTAGATAAAATGGATTTAGCCCATTTTTCACATGAGTCCAAATGCCTGTCAACCAAGATATTAACAAGCTGGTTAAGTGGCCAACTGCTTACCCTACTGACAACCTTTAACATTCTGCGTAATAAGGTATAGTCCTTCTTCAATATCCCTGGAAAATCTAAGGGAGAACAATAGAGAAGAATAGGTAGAACGCGAGAGTTAACGAATTGTAGGAGTAAGGGTTGAGTTATACCAGAATGTCTTAACTTCTTGATGTAGAAGGTAAAACGGAATATTTCCTTAGAAATCATGTTCCTCTAGGAACTAAAAGAACCAGTAATATAATAATGATGATGGGGATTAGGGCTAAGATGGTGTAATATTTTCATTATCCGCATTTTTACTAGTAAATAGTTTCCAACCCTTATCCTGGGGCCAGCACTAGTTTAATCGACGACTTTTCGGGAAGGTTGAGAAACAGGATAAGGCCAATAATTAGGTTCCAACAGGAACTCATCTTCAGTTACGTCAATGAATACATTTACAGAAACTGGCCTAAATTTAAAAACTTATGCTCCTCATTATAATTGGGGGATGTTTTCAAGTCATCATAAGTAGAAAAATAACCTGCTTAATGTGTTCTATCACTATTCTGTGTACTTCTCTTGTAAACAAACTCGTCTTTATGTAAAAACCAGTAGTTTTTCTAATTGGTCGTATCAAGGTCAGTTGTGCGTTCTCATTCCATGGATCATTATCCTCTAACTTTGTCTTAAAACCATGAAATTTAGAAAATATAAAAACACCAAGATAATCCAATCTGTTTTAAAATCGATGAAAAGAATAGTCTAAAATTACTTGATCCTTGTCGTGGAACTAGTTAACAATATAAAAAGCTGATATCTGATATCTAGGCTGACATGAAATGATGTCTTCCACTAAGAGTATTTCCTGAAGATGGTTATTTTACGAATATAAAATTCTAAAATGTCACTTCATTTTTAAAGTTAGCGCAGGAGATTTCGCTTAAAAGAACAATGAAACCGTCGCAATCCAGTCATCCAGAGTAAGAGAATACAATAACATTGGAAACAGGTATTCTGAATCTAACTAGCAGTAGAGATCAATATCCTTGTTTATGTGCACTAGACTCAGCTAGTACAGAAAAGACATGACTTTTCCATCAACCACTTGAATACCATTCGTAGTGCACTTTGATTGCAAGTCATCTGACTTTGTGAGGACATTGCACACTTGACTGACAGAATTCAATCAGCTAGAGTACTGGAATCATTCGGAATACAAATCATACATACGCCAAAACAATTGTTTCAAGTCTGGTAACGAGCGTATTTCAGAAAGAGAACTATTTAAAACCATCAGGGAAATGGGCATATGTTTCATCTGTCTCAGAGACTCTTTAGTAGCGAGCACTCATGACCCTACAGAGGGTCAAAGTCGAGAACTACACCTAAACAGGTGAGCTTATTGACTATTCAGCCATTGGGAAGGCTTCCAATCGCCCGTGAATTCTAGTTTCTGTAAACTCGTGACATACTGTGTGACCAACAGCCAATGACACTATTCAGTACCTGCTCTTACACCCAACTTTGTAGACCCCAGTGATCACGACCTATAGTCAATCACCAGAGAGAATTACGTTAATTTTTTCCTCCAACCTGAGATATATACTCCAATCATTTCATAAGACAATTACAGCAACCAGTTTGCTTGGGAAAATTTGAAACCGCGGAAATACTAAAATTATCGGAAATAATTACACTAAGCCTGGTACTCAGATCAATCTCTAATCAACAGACTAGTTAACAGATCAGATTTTTCAATCAATAAAGAAGAAGCGACTGAGAAAAAAGTTAAGCACCATGCCAACACGAAGCGATTGAAACGAATATAAAAACTAACACCGGGCTGATGAAAACAATCGCAGTGAACGCCATCAGGAGAGTACGCATATTAGATAATACAAGGATACCAAAAGAATCTATCTAACTTACAAATCCACTCCATTATTTCAAGAATAAAGACGCCCTAGTAATCAGTCAATGTAAACTGATGTGTAGGCACTAACACAGTAATTCATAAATAATCCCTATCTAGGCGTTTATAGAAACGAAATAGAACAAGTAGTTCAACGTAGAGTCTGATTCCGGTGAATTTACCTTCTTCAGCTGTACAATCTGGTATCTGTATACAATTTCCTCACAAATGAAGATAATGATAAACCTGACGAGTTGTCATAATCACAGTTATTAATATTGGTCAATGCATAAAAAGAATTGGATCAGGATGGCAGAGTTACGTAATAGGATGAATAGTTTAATGAATGAGTTGTAATCAGGATTATTATTTTAGCCGAAGACAACAAATTCTCATCGCCTTTGGATTGCGGAAATTCTAGCCATTCAGATAGAGAAACCAGTGCTCAGAGGACAAAATTAAGTTATTCAACTACTTCTACTCCGGCATGTCGTGGTATTCATTTCAAAGTTTAACCTTCAGAAAACCAACAACCAATCAAAACGTTTATTATCCTCTGATCTAGCTGACATAAAATGTGGCTAAAAATATATTAATATGGTGTTATTCCTTAATATAAACGTCCTTCACCGATTCTCTTTTCTTCTACCGTTAAATTGGTGTCCAGATAATTAGGATTTAATGGTCGGATGCTTTCGAGATAGGGGACGTCGGGAGCTTCTTGCTGGA